AAAATGAATAATCATGGAGGATTATATTCACCTCAGTCATTCAGGACTTTGCAATAGACCTCATTCCCTGAGGGATAGACCCCATTCCTTGCTGTACCTGTGACTGCCACAGAGGGAAGGAAGCCTGGGCACTTGGGACTGGAGAGAACCTTCTGAGTCACAGATATCTCATCTCACTGTGCATGGGCTGTGTGTGTTGAGATGTACCAGTTTATCAGGTACTATGTTTTGAGGTCCCAGTAAGCTAAAGGAGCGTAGAATGGTATCTAGTTCATACCCTAGTATGCTTTAGGTCTAAGTGTTGGTTAATTCTGGAAGGACTGAAGGAATAGGGGAGATTTAATGAGCTCCATGCAGTCTGCAGGTTATTATCGGAAAAGAAAATGAGACTCTCAGTCCCAGGCCCATTTTTCTCTACTCCTTTTGAACAGAAGTTGGCAAACTGTTTCTGTAAAGGGCCAGATAGTTTTAGATTTGAAGGCCATATGATTTCTGTTGTCAGCATTGAGCTCTTCTGTTATAAAGCAAAAGCAGCCATTGGCAGTATAGGAACAAATGGCCGTGGTTATGTTCTAGTAGAACTTTATTTACATAAACGGCGGCAGGCCACATTTGAGCAGCAGTCAACACCTGCTTTGAAATGTTTTGCAAATAGTGTCTCTGCCTGTTAGCGGTCGTTATCCCCAGTCTCTTAGGATCAGAGTTTTTCTTAGATTACAGAGCTGGATGTTACAGACACGACTTCTAGGTCTGCATTTCCCCACTGCACTCTGCTGCCTCTTAGAAAAAGATAAACAAAATAACTAGAACCCATGGAAAGAGGGAAAAGTGGAGCCCGGAGAGCTGATGCAGGACTAAGAGGCAACTGTGCAAGTTTAAATGTGGAATGTTTGTGTGACTCCCCATCCAGATTGCGACCTCCTTGAAGATTGGGACCACATCATATCTGGTTCTCATTTTCTATTTTATTTTCATGTTCTGTCCTTTTGCTTGAATGAATGTGTTTCTTGAACTAGATACATGCAGCACTGAATAAACCCTTGTTAGTTTCTTTGCCCCTTTCATCCTCCCCACTTAGTAGCTTCACTATATCCTTAGCCCTCCTCACTTGCTATTCTCTAAACATACCAGGTGGCCAGGCGCCATGGCTCATGTCTGTAGTCCCAGCACTTTGCGAAGCCGAGGCGGGCAGATCACCTTAGGTCAGGAGTTTGAGAACAGCGTGACCAACATGGTGAAACCCTGTCTCTGCTAAAAATACAAAAATTAACTGGGTATGGTTAGGTGCGCTTGTAATCCCAGCTACTTGGGAGGCTGAGGCAGGAGAATCACTTGAGTCCGGGAGGCAGAGATTGCAGTGAGCCGAGATTGCGCCACTGCACTCCAGACTGGGTGACAGAGTGAGACTTCGTGTCAAAAAAACGTAGCCATACTAGGTTCTCTCATGAATGTGAATATTGATGTGGTCCTTCTGTCAGGAAGACATCTCACCTGAGACCACACACACAGAAAGCCTGTGTTTCCTTAGGATACAGTTCTACATCAGGGAGACACAGCTTTTTTGTAGGGGTTAGATAGTAAATATTTTAGGTTTTACAAGCCATATAGTCTCTTCCTCAGCTAACTCAACTCATTCAACTCTGCCGTTGTAGTACAAGAGCAGCCATAGACAATATGTACATGAATGAGTGCAGTTGTGTTTCAGTACACCTTATTTATGGATATTGACATTTGAATCTCACATCATTTTTATGTGTAATAAAATGCGATTCTTTTTATTTAAAGCAAAACATTAAAAATGTAAACGCCGTTTTTTGCTTGAAGGCCAGACGGTTTGGCAGTGCGAGTCAATTTAATTTAATCTGTGACTCATGGATGCTGACCCTTGCCTTCGCTGCTTAGTAATGTACCCTAGTCATGTGTTATTACCCCATGAAAAGAACGGCCTACTTCTGCCATATTGTCTCTGACCTCTGTTGTTTCATTTATGATGCTGTATATTAGTCATGTGTACCTGTGTCTCTCTTGCTGGATTCTGAGCATCTTGAGAGGCAGGTTGTGGCCTAGTCAGTCATCTTTGTGTCCTTAATATCAGACATTAGACTTGACTTGGCACCTAGAGGGTATTTAAGAGGTGATTGTTGAATTTGAATTTTATGCTTGGTATGTATAAAATGTCATTTCTGCTTATCTTAAAGGGAAACCCCTGACTGATATGTGCAGGTTTTCCATGTTCTTCCCCTGGAGAGGCCTTGGTTAACTACATTTGCTGCTAGCAGATCTCGAAAACTCAGTGGTTATATGGCACAGGCTTTCCAAAGTTTTTTTATTTTCGAGCTCTTCTTCAGACAAGAAATGATTATAGTTTATCTTTAAATCATTTATTTAGTCATAATGATGAATATGGCTTTTAGTATTCTCATGAACCAGAGCTGTCATCAGTGTGAAATCATAATAGCCATTGTTTAGTGAGCACCTACTACATTCTAGTCAACTCGAATTTTTCTTTAGATTTTTGGTAACCTTCTGATTACTATTAATTTACATCTTTTTTATTGTTCTCTACATGTCAAACGAAACAAAGCAACATCATCAAAAACCCGCATGCTTTTTCTCCATACTTCTTCTATATAATTGAATGACAGCCAATCATCATCTGTCCTTTAAGTCAAATATGAATTAATTACAGACTCCTTTCTCTTCTTCTTTACCTCCCATATCTAATTGGCCACTGTCTTGCCTTTTTTTTTTTTTTAAGATGGAGTCCTACTGTGTTGTTTAGGCTGGAGTGCTGTGGTGTGATCTCGGCTCACTGCTACTTCCATCTCCTGGGTTCAAGTGATTCTCCTGCCTCAGCCTCCCAAGTAGCTGGGATTACAGGCATGTGCCACCGTACCTGGCTAATTTTTGTATTTTTAGTAGGGATTTTGCCATGTTGGCCAGGCTGATCCTGACCGCAAATGATCTGCCCACTTTTGTCTCCCAGTATGTTAGCAGTTTTAAAAATTATCTTTGGAATTTGTCTCATCTCGATTTCTAATTTATTTAATTTAATTGAAGGCTGAATTTATGTTCTTCCAACATGTTGTTGAGCCTGTATACTGATTTTCCTGACCACCTCTCCCTGCCTCGTGCTCCAGTTACGCTTCCCATAGTTATCAGCACTGAATGCTAATAATAATACTTTGTTCATATCAGTTGTTATTAAAACCCTTCATTTATTCCTTATTATCTTCAAGGTAAGACCAGCTTCCCAGTCATGACATACAGGACTCTATCTGTGACCCCAACACTTAACACAGATGTGTTTCAGAATTCAGAAGTTTGTGATATGGCATATGCAATACGTATGTAACATTATCTGCCTGTTCCTGAATACTTATGGGAGTGAATGGCAGGTGCTTTTAATAATTACACTGGGGCAGTAGGTTTAAACTGGACCTTTCTTGGGCAAACCAGGATATTATTTACACAGGTTAAGGATGTCAAGCAAAGAACATTAAGGATGAAGCAATACAGGGAGAACAGATAGAGTGAAGGAAGCAGTGGAGTCCTGGAGAAATATTTGAAAAGGGAAAAAGGAATGTGGCTCTTGAGGCAGGAGGGAAACCTGGAGCAGGTAGCCTCCCAGAATCCCAGGGAAGAGTCATTGTTTTTCTGTTATTTTAGAAGCAGAGCCCTTTTAGGAGATCCCTCATTAGATAATGATTATTTGCAGTGAGAGGTCATATTCTTAATTAAAAGAGCTTTTACCTTTTCTTAGAATACTATGTTTGAATGACTTTTTATGTATTAGGATATAAAAGTCTCTTTTAAGCATTTCTGTTTTATAGTCATTTGGCCAAAATCTAATTCACATCCTGCTTAAATCCAAATGTCATTTCTTTTTATTTTATTTTATTTTATTTTGAGACGGAGTTTCGCTCTTGTTTCCCAGGCTGGAGTGCAATGGCGCGATCTTGGCTCACCGCAACCTCCGCCTCCTGAGTTCAGGCAATTCTCCTGCCTCAGCCTCCTGAGTTCAGGCAATTCTCCTGCCTCAGCCTCCTGAGTAGCTGGGATTACAGGCATGCGCCACCATGCCCAGCTAATTTTTTGTATTTATAGTAGAGACAGGGTTTCACCATGTTGACCAGGATGGTCTCGATCTCCTGACCTCGTGATCCACCCGCCTCGGCCTCCCAAAGTGCTGGGATTACAGGCTTGAGCCACCGCGCCTGGCCTCCAAATGTCATTTCATGCTATGTTTTATCCTGAGGTTGCTAGCTATTTAGTCACATACAGTGAGTATAATCACTACGGGTTTAAATTTTTATGTCAAGAGGTAGAACACATTTATTCTGTAATATTGAATCCTGTAATATTGAAAATCAAAAACAGCCCTTTTTTTTTTTCTTCTGTATAAAATAAGATTTTTAAGGAAGTCGACAGGAAAATAGAACAAGTGAATATTTTACATTCTTAGTGGTTTATGGTTGGCAGTTTCTCCCCAGCATTTTGTTATGAAGGTTAAATGCACAGAAGAACTGAAAGACTTATGCCCACCAGCTGTATTCTGTTGTTAACGTTTTGCTATATTTGCTTTGTTACCGCACTGTCCATCTATTTGTTCGTCTTTCCAACCATCCGTCTGTCTTTTTCGTGTAAGCATTTCAAGTAAGTTGATTGGTAATTTTCCTAAGCAGCCGTATTTTTATTTTGTTACTGATTTTTTCCTGGATGTTGTAATTACAATATCAATACATTTTATGCAGATGTTTCAGCTAGTGCTTTTTCCTATTTCTAGAAATCTGAGATTGCCAATAATCTCTGTCAATTTTAAATTATTTTTTAAAAAAGTTCTGGTAAATAGTGTCAGACCTGATTAGTGCCTTCTTTCTCCATTGTTTTGTAATCCAGACAATTAAAACTGGTAATCATGAAAATGTAATTTATAGTGGTTTTAAAAGATGATTTTCTAAATTTTAAATAAATATTTATTCATATTATGTTGTTTCCAGAGTGGAGAGATCTACAGACCAAGTCATCAAGCCAGTCAATATAGGAGCTCTATCAAAATGGGTTGGGAAGATACCGCCAGATGTTTTGCAAGACATGGCAGTGATTGCTCCTATGCTTGCTAAACTTGGATATGACCCGTATGCCAACCCACCGAACTACGGAAAACCTGATCCCAAAATTCTTGAAAACACTCGAAGGGTAAGTGAGATTTTTTAAAGCAACTGAAAACTAGATTTGGAATTTGGGACCTGAATACTTTTTTCTTATTTTATTTCTTACTATTTAATGATCAGAAAATTATTTTAAATTAGAAAACTTTTGGCCGAGCACAGGGCTGACACCTGTAGTTTTAGTACTTTGGAAGGCCGAGGTGGCAGTGCACCCAGGATTTCAATACTAGCCTGGAAAACATAGTGAGACATCTCTACACAAAAAGTAAAAAGATTAACCAGGTGTGATGGCACATGACTGTAGTCCCAGCTACTTGGGAAGCTGAGGTGGGAGGATTGCTTGAGCCTCAGAGGTCAAGGCTACAGTGAGCCGAGACTGTGCCACTGCGCTATAGCCTGGGTGACAGAGCGAGACCCTATCTCAAAAAAGGAAGAAAGAGCAACAACAAAATTCTGTTTGTAGAATGCTTTCTTATCAGAAGTCTTCCAGTGCATTTTAAGGATAACTGGCTCTTTGGGGATAGTTCTTAGGGTATTTTGCTCAGTTTCTCGGAACGATACTCCCTGTTGGGAGATTTATTCTCAGCCAATTACCACAGATCTGTATAAATATCAGAATTATTAGTGACCTTACTTCTGATTTCTTTTTTTCTGTAAATCTAATAGCCACTTTACTTTTAAACTTTGTTTAGATGAGGCATAATTTTGGATACCTAAAAGCTAAACAATGGCTGAGCTAGAAAAATAATTAAACACTAGTGTACTGATTAAAAGAAAGTTGCTATTAAAGTGACATTATAGTTTTTCTAGTAGGAAGTTATGCTCACATCTTTACAAAATATTGTTTCAGAAAGTGCTGAAAACTCAGAGCTAATTCAATTATTTAGCCTACCAGTGGAGTCTATTTCAAATCAGACCTTATACATTTTTTAATGCAGTAAGATAGGTTTCACATAAAATTGACTGCTCTAGCACTTTTAAAGTGTACAATGCAGTGGCGTTAGATACATTCACAGTGTTGTGCAGCTGTCACCATCCATCTCCAGAACTGTTCTTGTCTTTTCAAACTGAAATTCTGTGCCTATACTCTTCATTCCCTAGCCCCTGTCAGCCGCAGTTTTTTGAGTCACTTACATGTATTAGTTTTTTGAAACTACATTTCAAATAAGACAGCCATGTTAGCATAAGTTCACTGCTAGGCTGTTTGATTCCAAGGTGAAAATTCCTTGGCTTTATCTGCTAACCTGTTGTTTATATTAATGTCCTTTCCTTCCTACAACCATATCATCTCTTTATTTTGTCTTTTGATACCTTTAATTGACAAATTTATGACACATTTATTTCATGAGATTAATTTCTATGTGAATTCGTCTTTCTTAGGTATTACTATTATTTCCCCTTTTCAATTCATCATTAGCAGCTATATGGGAAGAGCTGCCTTCTTATAAACCATCACATATGAAGTCAGATAAAAAAAATCATTTTCCTTTTTATACTTTTCATATATATAAAAATATTTCCATTATTAAAATATAAGTTCATTATATGAAACTTAGAAAATTAAAAATATAAGAGAATAAAAATCACCTGTCATGTTCCCACCTAGACACATACACATATTATTCTTAGTATTTTCATGTATTTTCCCTTATTTGCATTATGTTAAGCAAAGGTAAGATTGCATATTTTATCATCTTACATTTAAGACACAATTTTGTATTCGGCCCTTTCCTTTTAATATTCATGAGCATTTTCCCATTGTATGCATGCTTTTTAAATGTTGTTTTTTTATTTACATATATTCATAGAAGCCACCTTAAATTTTTTCTGAAACACAATGAATGAATAAATAAATCAACAAACAAAATACATTTCCCTAGTAGATGTTCTATAATTGATTTTACCTTTTTTCTTTTGTTGTTTAATTTTGTTTGACAAATTGTGCTATAGTCACCATCTTTGCACATACTCAATTTTAGAAGTTTTTTAAGGTAGGACCAATAAAAGTAGAATTAAACTAGAGCAAAGTATCTGAGATTTTTTTTTTAAAGCTGTTTGATATCTATTGATAATTAAAAAGAAAAACCTTTGGGCTGGCCACAGTGGCTTATGCCTGTAATCTCAGCATTTTGGGAGGCCAAGGTGGGTGGATTGCATGAGTTCAGGAGTTTAAGACCAACCTGGACAACATGACGAAACCCCGTCTCTACAAAAAATACAAAAGTTATCCAGGTGTGGTGGCACATGTCTGCGGTTTCAGCTACTTGGGAGGCTGAGGTGAGAGGATTGCTTGAGCCCAGGAATTTGAGGTTACAGTGAGCTGAGACTGCGCCACTGCACTCCAGCCTGGGTAATGGAGCAAGACCCTGTCTCAAGAAAACAAAAATAAAAAAACAAAAAAACCTTTGAACTACCCGCATAATGGAAGTAATTTATTTTAGATTTCTGTTGGTTTTAATAGATTTCATTGATTAATGTAATTGGACATTTTCAAGTTATTAGCTATATGAATATATTCTTTTATGAACTGTGTTTTAAGTTTTTTTAATTTATTTGAGACAGAGTCTTGCTCTGTTGGCACAATCTTGGCTCACTGTAACCTCTGTCTCATGTGTTCAAGCAATAATTCTCTTGCCTCAGGTGGGATTATAGGCATACTCTATCACACCTGGCTATTTTTTATTTTTATTTTTAGTAAAGGTAGGGTTTCATCCTTTGTTGGTCTGGCTGATCTCAGACTCCTGACCTCAAGTGATCCACCTGCCTTGGCGTCCCAAAGTTCTGGGATTACAGGCCTGAGCCAGTCTTTTAAGTGTTATATGTATTAAAGTTTTGTGAGCTACAGTCTGCCAAAAATGAAGCGTATGTCAGGACTACTTTCATAGTCCTCGATAATCTCTTTGTGGTTGGTAATTCATAGCTTTCTCCTTTGAACAATACTGAAAGGGTTTTTTATAACCAAGGTACATGTACAATGATATTTTGAGGTTTCTCAGGCAGTAGACATTATAGTTTTCCTACATGCAAATTGGCTTGGCTAGATTATACTTTGCTTTCTTGAGTGATAGGTTTGGAAAAATGCTATGGTTTGTATCCATGTGACTAAAGAATCTATTTCATACATACTTGCGGTTTTTGGAAGGATTTAAAAATGTACACTGACAAAAAACACCTTTCCCCCCCGTCTCTGCCTGTCTTTAAAGTGACAGATAATTTTGAGGAAGAAAAGATGAAGTGTGAACTGTAATTTCATTTTTGGGTCTTTTGTGGTAATGTATACAAGCTGACATTCTTGTCTTGTGAGGGTAGGTTTCATAAGGCCTTCTTGCAAACTAAATCCTGTGTCTCTTCAAAGCTTTTTTGCTTGTAATAAGTCAGATACTAATATATCTGGCACTGATGATCATGAGGTTTTTTATATAGCAATGCTTGAAAAGAGATCATTGATTTTTAGCTGTGATATGAGATGGACCTCAGAGAAAGAGGTGGCTGGGGAAAGTGTTCTCCTTAGTTATGGGGTGAGTGGGAGAAAAATCACGTTTTGACTGAGAATATAGAATTTTTATCTCTAGGCCTAAAAATGCTGTTTTTTTTGTACAATTCTGGGTAGTCTGCAAGTACTAATGAGTCAGCACATTTTAGGGACATATTTTGTCCAATATTGAATAAATAATCATGTGCTTTATGCTTACTGTGACTCACATAGTAAATTTGTAATGAAATGTTAACATATTTTGTACCCTCTCTCACCATAGTCTCTAATCCTAAAATTATAGCACATTATTAAATAGTGCTGTCTAGGTTACATCCTCAGCCTTCTTCTTGCATCAATTCTTAACCTTTTAGACTTAGGAACTTATTTGAGGATTTGATGAAACCTGTGGATCCCCACCTCAGAAGTACAGACAATTGAATACACAGATTTTACCCACAATTTCAATGGGTGCATAGATGCCCCAGAAGCCCGTCGGGTTAAGGATTCCTATCACCGACAATTTCAGTGGGTGCATAGATACCCCAGAAGCCCGTCAGATTAAGGATTCCTCTTACCCACAATTTCAGTGGGTGCATAGATGCCCCAGAAGCCTGTCAGATTAAGGATTCCTATTACCCACAATTTCAGTGGGTGCATAGATGCCCCAGAAGCCCGTCAGATTAAGGATTCCTCTTACCCACAATTTCAGTGGGTGCATAGATGCCCCAGAAGCCGGTCAGATTAAGGATTCCTCTTACCCACAATTTCAGTGGGTGCATAGATGCCCCAGAAGCCCGTCAGATTAAGGATTCCTCTTACCCACAATTTCAGTGGGTGCATAGATGCCCCAGAAGCCCGTCAGATTAAGGATTCCTCTTACCCACAATTTCAGTGGGTGCATAGATGCCCCAGAAGCCCGTCAGATTAAGGATTCCTATTCTAGTCTCGTTGCTCAAGCCCATCCACTCTTCGGGCTTTCATTACAACCTATTTGCTGATGATCATACATCTGTATAATGGATCTCTTTCCTGAGCCCCAGGTTTGTTATTATTTCCAACTGTCTTCTGTGTGTGTCCGCCAGAGGCTCTCACAGACCTCAAGTTCAGAGTGCAAAATTGAATTTATTGTTTAACCTTGTTCCCTGAGAGGCAGAAGCTAGGTGGAATTGTTCATTAAACTGAACAGGAATCCGCTGTGAGAGTGGGGATGATGCTGTGCTCATCTATACTTTCGGTACCTCTGTATGAGCCAAAGAGCAGATTTAAGGAACAGAGGCCTCAGGGCACATGGCTCAAGCCCCAAAACAATTCAAAGACCTGGTTGCTAAACTTAAAGAGAGAGTTGAAAAGCAGATCCAATTTATGAATGGAATATTTAGTTGGAAACCTGAGTAGACAGTACCGAGGAAGAGCAAGTGATCAAATGGCAAAAGCATGTATCAAGGTGCAGGGCCCACAGTAACAGACAAGAAGAAACGTGAAAATGAAGTCAGCTGGGACAGGGGTTAGATTAAATCCTTAAACCAAACAGGAAAAAGCTGCAGCAGTTGGAA